TAGTAGTAGTAGTAGTAGTAGTCGTAGTCGTAGTCGTAGTCGTAGTCGTAGTCGTAGTCGTAGTCGTAGTCGTAGTCGTAGTCGTAGTCGTAGTCTTAGTCGTAGTAGTAGTAGTAGTAGTAGTAGTAGTAGTAGTAGTAGTAGTAGTAGTAGTAGTAGTAGTAGTAGTAGTAGTAGTAGTAGTAGTAGTGGTGGTAGTGGTAGTCGTAGTCGTAGTCGTATTCGTAGTCGTAGTCGTAGTTGTAGTCGTAGTAGTAGTAGTAGTAGTAGTAGTAGTAGTAGTAGTAGTAGTAGTAGTAGTAGTAGTAGTAGTAGTAGTACAGCAGTAGAAGAAGTAGTAGTAGTAGTAGCAGTAGTGGTAGTAGTAGTATAGTAGCAGTAGTGGTAGTAGTAGTCGTAGTCGTAGTCGTACAGTAAGTAGTCTCACGTATTAGTGCAGTAGTAGTAGTAGTAAAGTAGTAGTGTAGTAGTAGTATTAGTAGTAGTAATAGTAGTACTCGAGTCGTAGTCCGTAGTCGTAGTAGTAGTAGGAGTATCAGCAGCAGCAGAGTAGTAGTATAGTAGTAGTAGTAGTATAGTATAGTAAGTAGTAAGTGATTATGTAGTGGTAGTAGTAGTAGTCCGGTAGTAGTAGTAGTAGTAGTAGTAATGGTAATCGTCGTCGTCGTAGTAGTAGTAGTAGTAGTAGTAGTAGTAGTAATGGTAATCGTCGTCGTCGTAGTAGTAGCAGTAGCAGTAGCAGTAGTAGTAGTAGTAGTAGTAGTTGTAGTAGTAGCAGTAGTAGTAGTAGTAGTAGTAGTAGTAGCAGGAGTAGTAGTAGTAGTAGCAGCAGTAGTAGTAGTAGTAGTAGTAGTAGCAGCAGCAGCAGTAGTATTAGAAATAGTGGGTAGTGGTGGTAGTAGTAGTAGTAGTAGTAGTAGTAGCAGTAGTAGTAGTAGTAGTAGCAGTAGGAGTAGGAGTAGGAGTAGTAGTCGTCGTCGTCGTCGTCGTCGTCGTCGTCGTCATCGTCATCGTCGTCGTCGTCGTAATATGTAGGATATGAGATGATGGATGCGTAATACGCTACTCAACATCGGAAGATCGCAACTTCGATTCGCCTGGCGATAAACAAACTCGGCAATCCCGAGGGCCCCCCGGGGACATCTGGAAGCCTCCGGGGGGGCCAGAGAGAAGCCCCAAAACTTTCATGGGCCTCCGATCGACCTCGAGCCGACGAGGCCAGCCAGACCTAGCTGGGCCCTGGAAGCGGCAGGGCCGATTACTCACCTTTCCTCAAGAAACATCGGACCATAGAACATGAAAATGGTAGAAACAACCGCTCACCGAAATTGACTAAACAAAACCGCGCCCAAATGGGAACCGGAACTATAAAAAAAGCAAAAAGCACAGCGAAATTGCGGCGGCACCGGAAACAAACAACGGAAGAACGGAGCCTGACAAAAAACGGCCCTGCCGCTTCCATGGCCCCCTAAGAGCCAGACCTCCGGGGAGTGATGGGCTGCTGGAGAACACCCCAAGGCTGTAAAACCGGTGAGAAACGACAACGACGACAGAGAACTTCGCGAACGTGCCCTATCCCCCCCTCCCCCCTGGGCCTATTCCCCCTAACGTTGCCCCTGATGGAGCCGTCCTCCCCGCCCTCGCCTCCGCGCGCGCGCGGGGGAGACTTTCTCTCGAGGCGCCGCGGGGGACGCCCTGCGACAAACCCTCTCGCCAGCGGGCCCGCGGGGCCGCCGCGCGCCAGGTTTCGCTCGCCCGCTCGATCTCGTTCGCGGCGGCGGCGGCGAAGGCGCCTCCTCCTCCTCCTCCTCCTCCTCCCTCCTCTTCTTTTTCTTCTTCTTATTCTTCCTCCTCCTCCTCCTCCATTCCTTCTCCTTATAAACAACTCCTTGTCGCGCTCCGAGGCTGGCCGGGCGTTTCGCCTGAAACGTCCGATCCATTTTTATGATCCTGAAGCTTGGAATGTGCAGAAACTCCACGGATGGGGGGCGCGCTGTGTTCTCAATGTGGCTCTCGGCCTAACGCTGCGCACACTCGTTCTCAACCTGTGCAAGAGCTTCACGGATTGAGGGCGGGTGGTTTTCAAAACGTGGCTCTTGCCTTGGCACCGCGCACACTCGTCTTCAACATTTGCAGGAGCTTCACGGAATGAGGGCTGGTTTTCAACATGTGGATGTAGCCTTGGCACCGCGCACACTCGTCTGAAACAGTTTTAAAAGCATCACAGATCGAGGGCGGCTCTTTTTCAAAATGTGGTTCCCGCCGTAGCGCCGCGCACATTCGTTCTAACAAAATGCAACAGTTCCATTGATTCCCATGGTTAGCGTACCAATACTTATGATTGGAGCGATTCAGGATTCCGCGCGCAGTGGTCCTCCTGCTCCTCCTCTTACTCTTCCTCCTCCTCCTCCTCCTCCTCCTCCTCCTCCTCCTCCTCCACATCCTCCTCCTGGGCAGCAATAGGGTTCGCGCTTCGCCAACCGCACCCGCTGACCACGCA